GCAGCACTGATGCTCGCCTACGCAAGTGTTTCTCAGGTGCCGGAGACCTGCAAATCAATCGCCTGAGTGCTACTTAAATGCGCACTGATTTTCAACAAGCACCCAGGTGATTCCGAGGCAGGGAACTCAGATCTCACTGACGCCGGTCTGAGGCTTGGGTTAGCGCTCCACTCAAGATGAAAGCACACGGCAAGCGCTGCCACCTGCAGAACCCTGACACACTCACAGAGAGGATGAGAAATGGTAGCCTGGCTTGCCTCAAAAGAAAGGAGAGGTATGCATAAAGCAGGCAAGCTCAAGCTCAAGCCCAGGACATTTCTCCGGCCCACCGGGTATTTCTGCCTGTCCTGCTTGGCAGCCGACTCATCCCAGGGCCCACAGTGCGCACTCTCCAACGGTCTGAGGGACAGTGACCTGGCCCCCTGTTTACAAAGTTTGAGGACTTGACCCCTGGCATAAAGGCTCCATTTTGCAGGAAAGCTGAAGTCCATGCAAGCCCAAAAAAGAACACCAAAAGAAATGATGTCTCGGACATTCTTCAAAATAATTTGCTATGGGGAGCAGAGCAGAGATGAAGCAAGATTGGGCTGTGACTCACTAGTTGTTGAAGCTGTGTGATGGATACAAGGAGACTCATTAAAATATTTCCTCTACTTTTGTATGTTTCAAAACTTGGGGAGAAAAAACAGATAAGAGAATCTATAGAGAAAAATAGAGAGAAATGCTCTCTACACCTCAGAGAGAGGGTTTATGCCTACAAAGTAGTACCTTTAACAGCAGAGCACTTCACACAACACCTATTTGACTTCGTAACTATGAACCATTTTTCCCCTAGAAAAGGAAAAAGGTGCTATTGTTGTGTTCACTCAGTCTACACTGACTGAGGCTACCCACCTCCTCCCTAGTCTGCTGGTCTTCTCTTTTTTTTTTTTTTAAACCTAGTTGCCTGGAGGTGCCAACCAACCACTATTCCATCTTGCCCCAGGCTCAATTATGTCCCTGCTATGACAGGGAAATCACCTGTCACCAAGTGTGGGTATCACCCTGGGTTGCCAGTCTACTCCTTTGCCTAAATATCAGAGATAAGAGAGGTGGTGTCCTGTCCGCACCCTTTCTGGAACACATAAATGGATCACTAAACACAGGACAGAGCAACAGGAAGTGCTGAAAGACAGCCTCTGGCATCTCCTAAGGCCATACAGCACTTCTTTACACACACACACACACACACACACACACAGAGAACAGGTACCTTCTCTTTCTAGAGTCACAACAGAATGGAAAATTGGTCTTTTTGAACCATTCACCCTAGAGTGACTCAGTTCAACCTTCCTAGTAGCCTAATTGATTCTTTCTGGGGACAAATATTTACTGAGCACAAAAGTGTGCAGGCTTGCATAATGCCTTGGTCAACAATGGCCCTGCCCTCAGGGAACTTATACCCTAAAGAAGGGCCATCACATAATGCATACTTTCAAATAGTTAACAGGTAGAGTGGGGGAAGAAAAAGTATAGGATATTTTGATACCATACAACAAGTAGACTTAGAGAAATTACGGATGGCTTCCCAAAGAAAATGTCATTTTTCAATTCCACTGTTGACTCCCATAATGACACCATATATTTTTAAAAATTTGCTGTAAAACTAAGGCATTTATTATTTTCATTTTTTAAGGATCCCTATATGTTCAGGAACATAGAAACCCTAATCAGTTATTCATACCAATTGATTCAATCAAAACATAATTTTGTTAAATTTCACAAATCCAGAATTTGTGAAATCACCTTGGGGGAAAAAAGGCTATTTGTCTTTTAAGTCATTTCAAAAAAGTCAAAATGTATTATCAATCTCTTTCCACCAAAATCAATTATGCTATTAGCTAATATTACAAATAATAGGGGGAAAAGGCAATAAAATATGAGAATGCAAAAAAAAAAAAATAGGCTGGCCTCTGAAAGATAACTGAAATTTTATCCCGACATTTTCCCACCTGTGCTAAAAGGAAGAAGAGGGATGATATGTTAGCTAAACCACAAATAATCTCCCTACCATCTAAATCAATAGTTCTAGCTTCTTCCACAGCATTAACCCTTGGGCAGTCTTGCCATGAAGGATTTGGCCAAAGTAAATGACAACAGGAAAAAGAAAGGAAAGAATAAAAAAAGAGAGCCTAGGTTAGCAATTTTGAAATTTGGTGGTGGGGATGTGTAAATGATCCTTTTGAGAAACCTAGAGACACTGTGGACATTTGCCCTACAAAATGGACATATAAAATTATTTTGCATATAATTTCAGGGGAACTATGACCCCCTGCAGCCTATTCAAAGGTTACGGGTTAAAAAAAAAACCCTGACCTAGAAATATCAAATTAAGAAGTCAGGCCTAACATAATCAGTAGTTGAAAGGGTTGAAAGGAATTAGTGTGTACTGAGTCATTTTACACACGTTATCTAATTTAATTTCAGCCCCTACAACAACCTTAGAAAGTAGGTAGAACTATCATCTGCTTTTCCAAGGAGGGAAAGTATATTCAGAGAGACGTTTTCTAACGAATGCAAGGTTAAACAACCTTAACCCCTAGATCCACAATTGCAAACTAGAGAATTCAAGTCAGGTGCATATTCCATAGATCTTCCAAGATGAGTTTCTGACACTCAGTGCTTCATTCATATAACCAATTTATCTACATATTTCTTCTCAATTTAATCTCTTTGACAAGAGGAATCAGTACAAATTTAACTCCAAAACATCTTTCCTTGGTAGTATATAATCTTAACCAAAGACGATGAATAATGGTCTAATAAATTTTGATAATATTAAATGTATATGCATTTCTGAAGCATCCTGACATGCGCTGTTAGGGGAACATAAAGGTCCACTGTATGAATGCTGAAAGTCCTCAAGCTTTTAAATTTGCCCCAGAAAATCCACAAAGTCACAAACAAAGAGCTGACTGAATTTAAAACTTCAGTCTGTACTCAAACAGACAAGCAAGAGTTGCAAATGACCCGGCAGCTACAGCATCCTCTAAATTAGGGCCCTCAAACTTTTTAAACAGGGGGCCAGTTCTGTGTCCCTCAGACCCTTGGAGAGCGCGCACTGCAGGCCCGGACAAGTCGGCTGCTAAGCAGGACAGGCAGCGGTGGCAAAAATACTCAGTGGCCCGCATGTGGCCCACAGGCCATACATAGTTTGAGGATGCCTGCTATAAACGGTTAGAAAAGCTTAAAAAAAGACACCTCTAATGAACACTAATACTTTCATAGGTCAGAAGCATAAGCAACCAGATGCATGATGGCTTTGGGCCTCAGGGAGATAGTTAAGAGATCTTCATGAATTAGATCTTCATGGAAAACCTGAAGAATATATCCCAACAAAAACGAACACAAAACTGAGTCCAGTCCACTACATTTGGTTGGGTCTCAGTCCAGAACAAGGCACCGAGTGAAACCCTAATACACTTACTCATCCTTTACAGCAGTCACCAATAATTAGCATTCTGTTTGCACACAGATTTAGAAGCCCTTTATTGGAAATGTATACACACCCAGAGAATGAAAACTAAGAATAAGAGTGGGTCAGGTCTTCTAAAGTCCTACTCCAACTTGCTTCCAATGAGAGTTACCACCTAGTGATTTTAATTTTTTAAGCCCAGGCAGGCTGCCAATTCAACACTAAAACCGGACTAACAACTGATTTTTCCTATTGCAACATCGCCAACAAGCCCTGAGCTTCCCCTCTCTATCCTTTGCTCTCAAACAGCAATTCTCATTTTCAAAATCAACCAATTTGCTCTATAATCTGTTCCAAGTGGAAGCTCTCAGAGAGCTGCCACTGGTATTACTCTTCCTCACAGTGCCAAGAGGCCAACAAGTGGCCCATTCAAAAAACCAAAAGAGCATGAGTGAAGAAAAGGCAGGTGTGAAAAACAAGAAATGCGCAGACAGTAACAATGGGCCAACTCTGGACTCAAAAATGCTCCAGTTGCCAAGGCTCTATCTATTCTCGGGTCCTGGACAAAAAATCGTGCCAAAATAAATGGCTACAGGTGAGAAATAAAATTGTATCGGGGGAATAATAAACTCAGTATTTTGGGTACCAAACCTCACTCAAAGTCTTGTCCTTACTACCACTGAAAGAAAACTTGAAAGAGAGCCTACGTTCATTGAACTTGAAAAGTCCTTTCTGACGACAGTGTGCCCAGACCTGCTGCAGGCATTAGACAGCCAAGACTGGCTCTTCAAAGCAAAAGAACATCTCCAGGAAAAGTCTAACAGTTTCCGGATACTGGGCCTGACTTTCACTTGGAGGAACACCTTTAGCTACAGGTATTTCCCTAAAGCATCCTTTTACCAAACAGCTTAAAACTAACCACTAATGAAGAATCTGATTTCACAAGCTCTGGGCAGTGAAGGCTCACCATATAAGACTCCAGCCCCCCCCTCCCCGCCCCCACTGCCAGGTTGGCAGCTCACAAAAAAAGTGACCTACTGCACTCTTCAGTTAGGACGATCCTTTTGTAACATCCTAAACTTGTATCCTGAATCCCACAGAAAGAAGGCTGCACAGGTAAAGCATCTTTAAGTTCAAAATTAACTGTGACGGGCAGCAGAAACTTTCGGGTAGAAAGGTTTCCTTTCCATCATCCCATAAGCTTTCGTGTCAATGTCTTTAAGGGTGAAAATCCTTCCCTCCACGGTGCTTCTCCCTAAGGGGGTCAGACCTAGAGGGACGCACGCAGGTGACGCTGCCCGCCGGCTTCCAGCGCTCGCCACCCAGCAGCGCCGCTCACGCCGCAGCTCGCCCGGCCTGCACGGAGGGGTCCCGGGTGCTCCCCGCTAGGAAGCCCCAAACCAGACCGCCCCAGTGCCCCTCCGTCCCTCCGCGCCCGCATCTCAGGCCGCCCCTCCGGCGGCGGGGGAGGGGCGCAGGTGGCCCCGGCCCGGGCGAGGCCGCGGGGGAGCTACCGGGGCTCCCCGACCCGCGGGGGTGCACTCACCTTCCCGACAGAGCCCCGTGACTTCGCGGCTCTTCCCCGACTCCTTCAAACTCTCGTCCAGTTCCGAGCCTAGGAGACAGGGGGGGCAGGTCAGCGGCCCGGACGCGACGCACGCTCACGCACGCCGGGGTGGGGTGGGGTGGGGTGGGGGCGAGCGCCAGCGGGCCCCGACCGGGGGGGGGAAGGGGCAGGGAGCAGAGAGGGAGCGGACGAGGGAGGACGGGGCAGAGAGGGAGCGGAGGGGCGGGGGCGTAGCGCGCAGGAGGGCGCGCGCACTCACCGTCCTTCCCGGGAAGTTTGGCAGCCTCGACCCACAGGTTCCACGGCTGCCCGAGCAGCGCGTCGGGGCTGGGCAGCGGCCTGCGCTCCGCGGCCGTCGCCATGGCGGCGGCGCCGGGCCGCCGTCCTCGGCCGGGGCGGCGCGGCGGCGGCGGGGCCGGGCGGCGCGGCGGCGCGGGCGGCGGGGCAGCCGGGCCGCCCCGCCCGCCGCCGCGCGGGCCCTGACGTCAGCCGCGGCCCGCTCCGACATTCCTTCCGCTCCTGCGGGGCGACAAAAAGGAGAGCGCGCCGCGGTGAGGGCGCGGGCCGGGCCGCGACCGGCGCTGACAGCCCGCCCGCCGCCGCCCCGCCCCCGCCGCCGCCGGGCAGAGTCCGCGCCGCCGCCGGCCGCTTTCGCTTTCGGCCGCCCGCCCCGGGCCGGCCGCCGCCGCGGCGCTGGTCCCCGGCCCGGCCGGACGCCCGCCCCGCGCCCTCCCCGCGGCCCCGCTGCCCACCCGCGGCCGCGCGCATCCGGCCGCGCGGGCGCCCTGCCTTCCGTCCGCGCGCCCGTCCCGCGGCGGCGCCCGGCGGCTCCCGTACGCGCCGCGCCTCCGCGCCTCCGCCCCCTCCGGTCCCTCCCCTCGCGCCCGCCAAGTTCGCGTCAGCCCGGAGCGCGGCCAGCCCGCTCGGAAGCGCACCGCCCGCGCCGCGGCTTCGCCTCGCGGCCCTCGCGGCGGCCGGACGCCGGCGGGCGGGCTGGGGAGGCCGCCCAGCAGGGCCCGGCGCGCGGGCCGCCCGCCCCGCCCCGCCCGCCGCTGCAAGGCGCGGCGTGCACCCGGAGACTCGGCTCCCCGTCCGGCGGCAGAAGGGGCCGTGCAGCCGGCGTGGGAGAGCCAGACCGAGACGCGCTCCACGCGTCGGCTTGCTTTGGGCGCACGACCTCCAGTTTCTGTATTTCCCCTTGCATTGCTCCTGCAAGTGATCGACTCACCCCGAAAACATCTTGCCATTTTAAAATCTGATTCAGTCTTTTTTTTTAATTATACATTAATTTTAAAACATTTTACTCTTCTCTTTTTGGGGGGCAAAATGGGATTGGCGCTGTTCTATGATTCAGTCTTAACTCGAGTTGTTCGCCTTTCCCTCTTTATGGCTGTCTCTTTTTTGGGCGGGGTGAGAATCCAGGGCTAAGGAGAATATACAGAATTCCTAGAAAATATGTTTAGAAGATGCTGTTTTCGCTCAGATTTTGTTCACTAAATCAAGCACTGACCTACAAAAGTTAGCACCCCTCCCCAACACATGCACGGACATGCGGACACACACAGAGCTTTTGCTTAAGTGAGATGCTAAAGATGGTAAAATAAAAACAGTAGTTCTGATCATCATGTTTGACACTGCAGTAGTATCAGCACTCCTATAACGTGTCAGAGCTACTGCTTACAGGTGCTTTCTCTGACGAGATGAGAAGGAGGCGGCGGCGGGTTTACTCATGCTTTTTTTCTTAATCTCAAACATCTGGTTTGACAGAAGTGGCCAAGAAACAAAGTCCAAATTGCAGAGACACAAATATACTTAACTAAGTAAAAAAAATTAATAAATGTTATTGCAACCCAAACATAACGCAGGACTCTGGGAGGAAAGGTTTGGGGTTCAAAATTAAAAGTGTATACACACACACATGAATTTTTATTTTAGGAGTTAGAAACAAGTGTGTGAAATTTTTCCTGGATTGCATGCAAACAAGTACAAAAAGTGCCAACACCTGGGCCAGGTGCAGTGGCGTACACCTGTAATCCCAGCACTTTGGGAGGCCAACATAGGAAGATCGCTTGAAGCCAGGAGTTCAAAACCAGTCTAGGCAACATAGTGAGACCCTATTTCTAAAAAGCAAAAAAAAAAAATTTAGCTAGGCATGCACCTCAAGTACTAGCTGCTTGGGAGGCTGAGGCAGGAGGATCCGTTAAGCCCAGCAGTTGGAGGCTGCAGTGAGCTATGATCATGCCACTGCATTCCAGCCTGGGCAACAGAGCAAAACTGTCTCTAATAAAATAAAAATATAAAAATAAATAAAAGATAAAAAACATTTTTAAAAAGTAAAACTATGGATGCTTCCTGTCCTTATGAAAATAACCAGAAATGATTGGAAGGATTTAATTTTTAAAAATCATTTCTGAAGCTTTAACTTCCTACATAAGAGTATCAGTGAGAAAAATGCATGGGTAAAACATATAATTACCTTGACAAAAATAGGGTTCCTTTCTTAACTCTTAACATAGCTTAGATGTCCTCAGTGCAGATTTTCAATTTTTCATCCATTCTGAATCACTGCAAAATCAGGATAATTACGACACCCAACCTCTCTCTTTTCCTAAAGTACACAATTTATTAATTACTCTGAATTTTGAAATTCTACTTTTAAGATAAATAAAAAGTTGGATTTTAACATAATTTGGAGCTGCCACTGAAAAGAAAGGCTTAGGGTCTCGCAGCCATAACAGATGACAAATGGAGCTTGCTTGTTGAGTACAGCTCTTTGGATCCCTGACAGTTCAAATTAAGAACAAAAACGGGGAAGAATGGCAAACATGAAGTACAGTCCCACTTCCTCAAGACACTGCTTGATTTCCCTCTTTTTATACATGAATACTTTCAAGACTCACTAATATGACTGCTAGCCAATGGGGATCAAGCTAACCATTTACAATACATCAACTTCTGTTCTAATTCCTATTTGCTACCTGTTTTTTTTTTCTTCAACGTTTTTGATTGGTTTAATAAAGAAAATACAATAGAGCTCAAAATGAAAAATACTAAGTATCCTCTTAGCATTATGACAGTTACTAAGAGAAATTATTACTAATAGTGGCTATCAATTATTGAATGCTAACTAGATGCCAGACATTGCCATAGGTATCTCACAAATAAACACTACAGATAAGTGTCATATCAAACTGAGCAATTCAGCTGAATCCTTATCTAGGAAATTTACTACCAAATTGAAGAGGATGTGGGAACAAGAGATTGACAAGACAATTTCTGGCACCTCCCTAACCAATTCTTTTTTGCTATAGCCAATGTATTTAACCACACTCCTTCTTCACCCATAAAAATGTCCAAGCTCCTTCCAGAAATGGCAGATTCTGATATCCACAGTTGTTTTGGGTTTCCTAACAGTCAGAAATGAGTCAGTAACAAAAGTCAAAACTGCAAGCTGAGAAAGTGCTTCTGATATTCAAATTTAAAAGTATTTCTTATCCAAGGAATACTTTACAAACAAAAAACCCAAATACTTAGTTTTACTGACCAGGCCATAATAAAAAATTTGATGACCTCTTACCTAAATATTTCCCCTTCCACACCCCAAAAATAGAAAAATAAAATGAGCTTAAAATGAAAAATACTAAATATTCTCTTACATCGATACAATTTATATTCATTTAATGTAAGTTATTTTAATACAGTAGTGTGCCTTGTATGATATCAATCAGTGCTTCTCCACTGTATTTCTTTCTTTCTTTTTTTTTTTTTCCAGACAGAGTCTCCCTTGCCCAGGCTAGAGTGAGTGCCGTGGCGTCAGCCTAGCTCACAGCAACCTCAATCTCCTGGGCTCAAGCGATCCTCCTGCCTCAGCCTCCCAAGCAGCTGGGACTACAGGCATGCGCCACCACGCCCGGCTAATTTTTTATATATATATTTTTAGTTGGTCAATTAATATATTTCTATTTTTAGTAGAGACAGGGTCTTGCTCAGGCTGGTTTCGAACTCCTGGCCTCGAGCAATCCGCCCGTCTTGGCCTCCCAGAGTTCTCCAGTGTATTTCTGATGGTGCCTTATAACTCTGAGGAACTTCACTATCTGCACACTTAAGTGATACACATTTTATAACGTTTAAGTAATGAGCATTCAATGTAACAAATAGTTCCTGATTGTCTACCACATACAGACACTAGTAGGCAGGCACCAGGGTGAACACAGGATAGTAACTTTGCTGAGGATATGAGAAAGGTAAGAAGCAGGGGGAAAAAATTTTATTTCATCAAAATGCTCTTATGGAAAAAGCTGTCACCACCAATTAGATTGTATGTGGCTTAAGAACTGGGCTGTCAGAAGTAAAATGCTGCCAAATTCTGAACATTTCATCTCTTCCAAGGATGTATTTAAAATATGGTCTTACTTCACCATCCAAATTTAGGGATGTTCCCAGTAGGTGCCAAGTGTAACAAGGTCTCTCTTTATAAAAAGGATTCTCTGCACAGTAGATTCACTTGCAAAACGCTTTGTTCAAAAGCCAAAGGCATCATAATGCGCAAAAAAAAAAAAAATATATATATATATATATATATATATATATGCTGACCTTTTCAGTCTTTAAGTCTAATTTAATGTAAAAAGGATTAAACTACCCCAAACTTTTCTAAGATGCAAGATCCCACACAAGCCTTTTTATTTGGAAAAAACCACCAGTCCCAATATAACATTTTAATAAACCTGAAAACCAGTAACTATAGTATACTTATCTGTGCAAATTATAAGGTTGGTAACAGAGAGTCTCCATAATCAACCCCAAATGACTGAAGTCATTTGAGTAACAAGAAACTCAGATCCACTTAATTAGGAATGTGTTGGCTTTGGTTTCTTTATATCCTTCTAAAATTGGCTGAGCCTTTGTTCCTATCTCTTTCTCTCACTCCTCTGACCACACCTCTTCTTTTCCTTCTTTCTTCTCCAGAGAGAGTCAGGGCTCTGTTTTGCATAAGAGGTATCTTTTCCCTAACTGTGCTCCCTCTAGTGAAATCTTTCACAGCCTGTCATGAATACATCAGTATTCCAGCAGAGGGAGGACAGTGGAAGGAGTAAATTGAATCCATCAGCTCAGTGGCTGGAATTGCTGACAATCAAGTGGAAAATTAGGAATGATAAGGATAGTTGAAACAGTGGGGACTTAAAGGTGAGTAGGGATAATTCTCTCTTTAAAAACTTACCCTGTATGCATACTCATTCATTCTACAATGTGCACCATTTACTAACCAGCCTTGAATTTTTGTTTGTTTTCTTAATCTTATGTGTGCATCTATGTATGAATTCTCCTAAAGCAATATTCACCAGCAATAGTAAGTTGCTTGAAAAGAGAAAAAAATGTAAAAATACACATATAAAAGGTGATAAATTGGGCTCAAACCGGTAATCCTAGCACTCTGGGAGGCCGAGACAGGAGTTCGAAACCAGCCTGATCGAGACCCCATCTCTACTAAAAATAGAAAGAAATTAATTGACCAACTA